CATAAAGCTGCTTTTAGACATGGATGTACATAATCATTTAGATGAGGTTGTTCCAGGGTTGTTACATTATGAAGTGGATTCATATGCTCTAAAGCAAAAGCCAGCAGACAAATGTAAACAAACAAACTTCAAGTAAGTAAAAGAGAAAAAATAATTTCAATACAAAAGCACATACAAATTATCAAGTGTCTTAATAATTAATTTAATTGCCATTTTGGTAGTTGTTTCTTTGTAGTATTTTATGTTCAGATTATCAATGGCATTCGACCATTGCTGATAAGTTAAATTCTTGTCAAAAAAAAAAAAAAAAAACATGTTAGAAGATAATTGAACCAAACACTAGTTATAAACATTACATTTCTTGCTTACCTGTGAGAAAAAATTGACAAGAAAATTATGTGTTTCATCTGGAATCAATTGATCAATGATTCAAGAAAATTTTTGTATACATCTAATTCAATATGTTTCGCAAATTGGCTTTTAGGAGTGAGATCCATTATTCCTTCAATATCATTACTACTTTATATTTTACATGATATTTTTGATATTATGTTCTATCTGAATTTCCTTCCTAAGAATTCCATAAATTTTCAACTAAGAAACAATTACAGAATGTTAGATATAAAATAGGAGACTCAAATATAAATATAACAATCTTAAAGGACATACATTCTCTAGATCACAATTCTGTTGATTTAATTTATTCTCTTTTGATTCATCTAATTCATTTGATTCATCCTCCTTCATTGAGGCATTTCAATGGAAGTTTATAATAGATAACATACACTCCCTGGACAAAAGTTTCGGTCACCACAAAACAATTAATTACGCAAAAACATACATAATAAAACACAAATAAATTTCATCAAATCGTGATTAAAGTTCTCAAGGATATATATGCAAAATTTCAAATTTTTGTAATGTTTGGGAGAATAACAGTCAAAAAAATAAAAAGTTCAACTAAAAATCTTCTGAAAAATTGTAGTTTGCCAAAAAAAAACAGTTTCTCAGAAACTTACATAATAACCACACCTGAAATCGTGACATATGAAAGATTAGATTCTAAAAAATTACGTCATATGTTTTTTATACAAGTTTTTTTGTAAAAAATTGTTTTGAAATTTTTGAAAATTAAAAAATGTCAAAGCAAAAATCGTCAAAAATTGGATTGAAACAAAAAAGTAAAAATTTTGAAAAATTGGCCAAGTCAATCTCCTGATTTGAATCCAATAGAGCATCTGTGGAATCAATTAGAAATTCGTATTCGGAAACGTCCAAATAAATTTAAAAATAATGTTGAACTTGAGACCGCTTTACATGAAGAATGGAATCAAATTCCTAGAAATATTTATATGAATTTGATAGAAAGTATGCCGAGAAGAATAGAAGCTGTTATATCCAATAATGGACGGCCAACAAAGCGTTGACTTGCATACAAATAAGTAAATTTCGGGTATAGTTATTATGTGCGTTTTTTTTTTTTGAGAAGTGGTATAAACACTTGCAAATAAAATCAAAATTTTTCCAAAAAATTATTTTTGGTTGAACTTTTTATTTTGTTATTCTCCCAAACATTACAAAAATTTGAAATTTTGCATACACATTCTTGAGAACTTTAATCACAATTTGATGAAATTTATTTGTGTTTTATTATGTAAATTTTTGCGTAATTAATTGTTTTGTGGTGACCGAAACTTTTGTCCAGGGAGTGTATGTACAGAATTATACATGAAAAGAGCACTTTCCCATACATATTTGTCCTGAACATGTCCTGAAAATAAATTCCATACATTTTCCGTGCTTAACATCCACAGAAAATGCACAAGAAAATGTACGGAATGTAATTTTCAGGTCATTTCCAAAAATTACGTACATATTTCCATGCATTTTCCATAAATTTTCGGTGCATTTTCAGGTCAAATATGTATGGAAAAGTGCTCTTTTAATGTATAATTCTGTACACATTTAATACAGAACATGTGGAAAATGTATGGAAAACCATACATTTTCCGACAAAATTTTTTATAAGGCTGGTGTAAAATAATTTAGATCTTGGGCCAGTATTTTTGATCTGATTGCATAATTTTGAAAGTATTCAGGTTAGGTAAGATTTTAAAATTCTCATGATATGGTCTATCAAAATACTTGTCAATTGTATCATCCCAATATGGAGTTGGTTTATCCTGGTTCTCATTACCATAATCATAACAATAATAATAATAATAATCATTGTCACCACCACCATGCTTAGCATTATTTACTCTTTATTAAGTAGATGCACTAGTTTTAAGACAATATTCTGAGGGTATTGAAGGGAAATATAGCACCAAGATGGAACACCTTGTTATTGGATATTGGAATGGGAGTATAATCAGTCAGTTTCATTGCACCTAGTCTCTTTGCCATGATATGCTTTTGAAGTTCATCAGTTTCATTAATTTCAAATAACTTAGAATGCTTAGATTTTGAGACACATTTTGTAATGTATCTTGCAAACTCAAAAGTTACATATTGGAAATTAATGTGGCCATCCCATATCAATAAAGTTTCTGGGTGGTATGAAACAACCATCCTATCCTCATCTTTTGTACAATGATACATGTAACATAATGAATAAGGTGAACAATATGTTACATTTGATAATGGTTGGGGAAATTGATATCACTTGATGCAATTTCTTTATCAATTGATATATATATTATCATCAGCATTGAGATTGAGAATTGGTTTGGTGTATTGAAAATTCTATATTATCATTTCTTCTAATTCAACAGTTTTACAATCAATCAATTGTTTTGAATATCCAGTTTTTAGTAAGGAGTGTACAAGGTCTTGAATTTTACAATTAGGAATAGAAAGAACATGGGCCTTTATTAGAATTACAAGGCCTTTCAAATAAAAACACTTATTTTCAGCAATGACCTTACTTTCATTCATTATTTGTTAAATTAATAATAATTTCATCCACTTGAGATTTTTTACTTGTAAATGGTTTTTTTAAAAGTTTTTCTTCATTCCCCAATCACATATGTTGAGTGAAGTCATATAATATATTGATAAGATATATTTTCTTTGGTGATAGGAAATATACATGCTTTCGTAACGTAATTAATTAATCCATGAAAAAGAGACGTGCAATTCTTGTTTTTTTTGAATATAGTAGAATACCTCTAGTTTATGAATGCAAATAGCTTTTTATTCTTATTATGATAAAAATAAATTTTGCATGTCCATTTTTGATTATGGTTTTTTCCACAAATTTCTTTTTCGCGGACTAGTTACATTTCAAAGATATGTAATTCAAAAACATTGTACAGATTTTCAAAAAAAATTGGCTAGGATTGGACTTTGGAGCCTTCCAAATGCTTCCAAAAACTATTATTATCATCATCACCATTGTTATCACCATCGATATAGCTGTTTTGCCTCTTTTTAGAACACTTTAGCTACAGAGTGTGCGACTTAAATGATCAAACCAATCAAATAAAATATAAAAAATTTTTTAATTGTTGTTAAGGAGAGTCAAAGATCATAGAAGTGTAATATATCATAAAATAGTTGTTGTTTATTCTTTAGGAAAGAATGGGCGTATGAAAAATTAATGTATGTGCAAGTAAAGTAAAATTCAATGAACGTAGCTATAATATACATGTAATTTAGGATATTCTTCAATTTGTTTTTATTATAAAATATATATATGTAATATTTAGTATATAGTAACTACTGTACATGTTTAACAATAAATGCGTGAATATTTATGAATATACTAATACCAAATGATATAATAATCAATCGATAAATAAATATAATTGTGTATAAATAAATATAATTATTGTTCAATAGGTTTTTCGGCATTTTCAACATTTTCAGCTTTTTCGGCCTCCTTATCATCATGCTGTTTTTTCTTGGAAACAAAAAGACAAAACTGAAATAAATCAAGTAATGATTATTAGTCATGGGCGCACCAAAATTTTCATCATTAATCAGAAAAACAGGGGAATTCATTTTACCTCATCAAAGAGGATATACCCTCCACCGTTCGCATCGATTTTATCAAATTCTGCTTTAAGGTCTTTCTCTGAAGCCACTTTTATTCCAATCATCTTGTGTCCCTCCTTGAACTCTTGATAATTGATACGTTTGTCATTATTTTTGTCGAGTTTCTTAAACTTCTTGTATACATCATTATAGTAATAAAGAAGATCGAGGAGACGACCAAATTCATTCGAGTCAATGAAACCATCCTAATAGGAGATTAGTGATGTTTGATTGGAGTGTGTTAGAAATGCAAAATCCAGTTATGTGCCATCTATCTTTTACAACAAGACAAACAAACCTTTGAAGCGTCAGCAGCTTTGTAAGCTCGCATAAGAGCAGGCTTATCTTTTGCAAGAAGCGGGTAGGTTTCAGCTATAGCTTTATCAATTTCAGCAAGTGATAGGATGCCATTTCCATTATAGTCAAATCTCTCAAAAATCTACGACAATAATTAAAATTAGTATGTTGAAGGCTATGAAACATTGTTTATCAAATAAAAATGGTTAGTATATGTTGTTAATTACCTCTTTAATCTCTTCTTGATTTAGTTTTCCTCCCTTTTCAAGCAGTTCTTGAATTTTCGTTTTTCTGGGGGTTTTTTTAACATTTATACTATCTTGTTTTTTCATATTTGATTATTTATTAATAGAATAATGCAGAATAATGATAATGTTTTAATTATTTGATTATAGGATAATGGTAATGGTTGATTATTTGATTATTTGATTATTTGATTATTTGATTATTTGATTATTTGATTATTTGATTATTTATTTGAGAATAATAAAAGTTTGAGGATGTATTTATATGTATTAGTTTTTATTGAGTTGGATAAAATTGGACTGAATGAAAATTTGATTCATTGGCTAAAAAAAATATGTTGTGGCGCTTTCAAACAAGTTTTTTGTATAATTCTTTCTTAAAACGTTTTACTAATATTGTTGTTTTATTAATGTTACCACGTTTAACGAACCATTGATATTAAGGCGTTTATTTTACTCATTTATTCTTTTCTTTGAGGAAGGTAAATTATTCTAAAATTATTTATTCTCTTCCCTTGATTAACCGAATTTGTTTTAATTAAATTAACAATAAGTTTAATGATCAATCTCGTGTAACTAGTAGTACAAAGAACTATGTTGACAAACAAGTATTTTTGACCCAGAGTAGCTTCTCTGGCTTAATATATATCAAGATTCGGGTTTCTCTTACTATTAATATATATTTGGCCTTTTTATTTACAAATTTGGCAGGTGACACACATTTTACATTACATCACATAAAGAATAAAAAGGAATGATTTGAGAAACAATTGCCCGATTACTTTACAAAAAGGCCCAGAAATTTGGGTGGTTTTAAGAAAAATCGCCATTTTGCATTGTAGATTAGATAGTAATAGATTTATTTATTTTATCGCAAAAAAAAAAAAAAAAAAACAGATCGTTAACACCTTTACACCAATGAAATGAACAATCAAAATCACAATAATAACGATATTAGATTAAAACTTGAAGGTTTAGAATAATATGGTTAGAACGATGCAATGAAAATCATTAGATGTGAGAGAAGAAAACATAAAAAAGTATAAAAAGGAAAAAAGAACTAATATGTAATGTTAATGTAAATTTCCAGATTTGGTTAGCATTCGCACTGAATGGTACCAAACGGTCAAAATTGATTTCCGTGGAATTCCATAGAGCTAATTACTAAGGTTTCTATTCAGATAAAACGAATAATTCAAATAATACTAATACGAATAATTCGAATAATACGAATAATACGAATAATATGAATAATACGAATAATATGAATAACTAGAATAATTCAAATAATAATAATTCGAATTAATATTAAGTAAGATTGACCACCATTTTTGTGCCACACTACCAAATCATCCAAAATATTAAAGCCATGTGGTTTTTGAAAATTCCTTGGTTTGTATTGTCACCAATAACAGGAATTTTTCAGATGATTCGGTTCGAATCGAATTCCAAAAAAACTAGAATCGAATCGAATCGAATCGAATCAAATATATTCATAAACTTTTAAGTAAACCCTTTATATATATATTTTATTCACCATGTAGGTTTTTAATTTGAAAATGATCTCATAATTTTATTTTATTAATGGTAAAGATAATTTAAACTACGTTGATTATAATTTATTTTATCTTTAGAGAAACTAACTATTGTTATTTAAATATACATGTATACACAATTGATCACTAATATTTTAAACAATCATTTACCAGTTAGTATCGCGTCTTTGCTCAACAACGAGGAATGGTTTTAAAAGTGGATGCAATAATTCATGAGTATGAGTACTTCTACTGTTATATTGTCATCAAACGAAGTTTTTCAATTTTCATAACTATAAATTTAAAATTTTATTAAGACTAATACTAAAGAAATTAACCTACAGGTGCTTCCACACATTCTGGCATTTTCTTAACATTTTTTTATCAGGACATCCAATTACATTTTAAGTTTATAATATAGCTGTTCTATTAAGTTTTCAACTGGTATTTATCGTTTTCTCTGGTGATATCAGCTTTGTGACAGAAATCTATAATAGTTTTATTTAGATTCTTTTTTTGATATAAAATTTTCATCTGGCCAAAAACTTACTATCTAATAGATGGTAGCATATCAAGTCTGGTCATCAATAATTCATTCCTGTATAGTACACATAGATAAATGTTAAGCATTTCAGCAGCTTAAATAATCAAATATGGAGTCAGAAAGCTTACGGCCACATAAATTCTTCATCATTCAAAAACTTTTATTCTAGAATGTATTTTTTTTAGCAAAGCAGAACTGGTTCTTTGAGATTTTCTTTTAATACTCTCCTAATCCAGATGAGATTTCCCTATTACAAAATTGCAAGTACATCATGATTACATCACCTTTTCTTCCAAATCCATCAACCTGTTTAAACTCAAGATCCTGCCAATTATCTGAAAAAGGTGATGAGGAAAGGATAATATTCTTATAAAGATTCAAAATCTCAGTGTAGGAACGTGCTGTGCATTCCCTCAAAATAGGATATTAATGTTAGAATAATTGGATTGATGGCAGTTAGAAAAAAAGAATTTATTTTTTCTCTTCTAAATCGCTGTCCAATACTTACTATTGTACCCAGAGTGTGGTTCAACGTTGCTGTTCATGATGCAAGTACGGTATTGGCATTACCGTTCAAATACGTAAAAGATTATTATTATTATTTATCTATTCATTATAATGAAAGAAAAACTTTGAATAATGTGATATGATCATTATTGTTGAAAATCAGTAAAATAATATTAACTCATCATGTTCATTGATCTGATAAAAGAAATCACACCAAGACCTTTATGTTCACGTGAAGTTTTAAAGAAAAAATCAAAAAAAATCTTATTTAATGTCATGGGAAATTATGAATGATTTGATAAACACAGAAGTACATTTTGTAATTAACGAACGTATGAAAGAAACAAAAGTAGTAATAATAAAATAATAAAATAGAGATAGTAAAATCTTATTATCAATTGGATAACAAATAATATTGGATTTGGGATGTCATGGATGTTTTTGTGACAATTTGCTTATTGGTTAAATGTTATTCTCAGGAACTAACAGCCACACGGAAAGAATCTGTCAGCCCAAACGGTCTGATTTTATCTGTTTATTATTGCATTTTTTACTATATAATTAATCATTCAAAATAAAAACGACGTCATCGAAAAAAAAATGATGTCATGCGGAAAATAGAAAAGATCGTATCTTGCGCATCGCGCGCGTGGTGCGCGTGGATATTTCGATTCCTCGCATTTAGAGACACCAGATTTATAATTTGCTACTACAACATTCCAAAATCAAATTTGTGTCAATTTGAAATTTAATTAAATTTTGGGTGGAGTGTTATATATATAACATTAAATGCTGGAATACCAAAGCAAATCAAGTGCGTTTAACTTAAATGCATTATGGTCAGATGAAGTCACAAAGAATCCTACTACATGGTGATCTGCTTTAAAAAAATGAGGTGCCAAAACTTTCTGAACTTGTTGCTAAACTTATGTCAATTCCTGCAGCAGAAAGAAAATTGGGCTCAATATTTTAATGATTGGTAGTAGTAGAAGCCAAATACATATTGTGAAATCGTGTCCGAGTCTCGATGATGATAATTTATTTAATGTTAATAATGTTAATACAATAATAATAAAAATTCTTCTAATTTTATTTATACTAAATCGTAACAACAATTTCTGCGAATGTACAATCTTTCACTATCGTTAAACAATTCCTTGATAAGCAATATTTCACACGATATCCTGATCACGTTACTTGGCGGATGCCCTCTCAACTGTTAATCCCTGTTTTACAAAGTTAGGTTTTTATTCAAAAACTTCACTAAACAAATATAAAATAAGAGAAATTAATTATGCATGTATGAATGCATTGTTAGTGATGGATTTATTGCCATTACGAAAGTATAAGATTCGACAAGGACAAAGATAGTTTTGTTATTTATTAAATAATTTGAATAATTGATATTATGAATTATTATGTGATGGATGATCATCTAGTTGTCTGATTCCTAGGAACTCTTAATTGTTTTAAAGTGAACGAATGGTTTTGAATTAAGAATTAAGGAAATGTTACAATTTAAAAATATTATGAGTTATTTTATTGGTTTCAAATTGGGGTATTCCCGGTTTTCTTTTTCCGATTTATTTATTTGATCTCCCGTGCGTAAATTAATATTAATATATTAATTATTAAAAAAAACAAAGACATAAATACCCAATTAATTACATGGTATAGGTTTTTAACCAAGGAAAGCTCAAACAAAACTTTAATTCAATTTATTAATGAAAATTTTAATAATAAAGAAAGATTGTATAATTGGTATGTTCAAAGAATAAATTTTCAATCCAAAAATGGGATAAATTCAATAAAATTTACTAATTGATAGTTCATTTATAATTAACCGGTGTCATTCTAAAACAATAATAGACAAATAAAAATTAATAATCAATCAAATTTTTGTTTACAAAAAGATACATACTAAACTTGTTTTTTAGAATTCATTGTCATTACCAGATATTATTAGATCCAGAAATAATGAAACTTTCATTTTTATAAATTGTTGCCATAACATTACTAATAACAAGAATTTTTTAACAAATTTGCATTGAATTATTTTTTCATCCTGATATCAAAATTTTTCTTTAAAAAAAAATGTTGGAAATTTTGTTATGTCGTAAGAGACGTGAAACTGAACCAATCTCAATTGTGATATGTAAAAGGTTTACTGTTATATTATTCGTATTAATCACATCAGTTGTTCTTATCATATTATCAATTGGAGTACATAATGATCTACCAACTATCAAAAGAGTGTATTCTTCAGCGAGTCGGATTCCTGCACCAGGTGAATTTAATTGATCGATGAATATTAGCTTAACATATATGAATGTTGACTAATGATGATTATAATGTTAATGCTGACTTTTTAACTATGCAATATCATTGTATAGTTATTTACATGCAGTCTGGATGGCAATTTGAAATAGGATGTTCCATCTTCTTCACCAAAATTGTCAATGAAAAAGGTAAATTTATATTATATGCTATGCTATGCACTATACATATATTGTATTATTTATTAATCAATCAATTTAGGTACTAATGACGATAAATATATAATACAACCTACTAAACCTACTATACCTGATGAGAATAATAGCACTTATTGGAGAGGAAGTATTTCTCCGACTAATTTATCATTTATCAATGATATTAACAAGGCTGAAAATCAAGCGGCAATAACTGAATTAAATTTGATGTTCGCAATTACTGATCCAAATTATAACGAGGCTAATAATGGCTCTGTCCGTTTTAGTATTTATATTCATGATCAAGGTAAAATATCATTTATTTATTTTGAATATTGATTGATTGATTGATTGATTGATTGATTGATAATTCTTTTTTTAGAATATGATCCATTAAATGATACATTTGTTAATGAATCTGACAATTATTCAAATTTTGTCAAATCACTTCGACGAAAAAGTTTCTATAGCACAGGAAATGTAAGTAATGTAATTGTTATTACTAATTATTATTATTATTAATTATTAAATAATCATGAATGATATATTTTTAGCAATATAGTTTGGAAATATCAAGAAAACAAAGAAATTTATTACAAGATTCATCTCTAAATAATTTGGGACTTTCAGTAAGGTATCCCAGCCGAAATTACATTGTGACAGATGATCGTAAGTTTTACAAATTTTATTGTGGAATAAGCACAAATAAACGATCAGTAAATGAATTTATTTTATTTAGATTTGGTTGGAAGGGTGGAGAATTCAAGTTATGCGATTCTCCATATAATTCCTCAGACTTTTTTGCTTGAAACTGAGGTCGAACAAAGGTAAATAGATTGAATTAATAAATGAATGAATGATCAAATCAATTGTTTAATCGATCAAAATAATGATTCTTAATTTCTACATAATAATTATCGATTTTTTTTAATATAGGAATAAAAATGTAAGCATATTTATTAATTAATTATTGCCGTTATCATTATCGTTAAATACATTTTATTAATTTTGTCAATTGCACCAGGCTCTGACTGTTATTTCAAACGTGCTTGCCGTATGGGGAGGATTGTCGGCATTTTATATATTTTTATTTGGTAATTATATATTATTGCATGGTATAGTATTCATTTTTATAATAACCACTTTCATTAATCATTTTAGGCGCTAATTCAATTAAACCGTGGGGATTTATACAAGAAAATATTTTCAAAAGCGAAATACGTTATAAATTGGGATTAGCACCATTTTCTAAAAATGAGGGAAATCCTGAGGAAAGGATTGATGCATTAGAAACATTCCTTAAGAATCATGTTGTCGATGTCAATGTTAATTTGATAGGTCAATCAAATAAATCATCAGATAAATCACCACTTATCACAACTGCCCGAACTGTTTGTAAAGACGAAGAAAATAATATTTAAAAATAGACAAATTTTTCTTATTTATTTATTTATTTATTTATTTATTTATTTATTTATTTATAGAAGTAATAATTTTTAACGTTGTAAGCCGACTTAAGCGACTTTAATGACTTTGATTTTTTATTTAATAAAATTTTTTTATACCGTAAAGTCTGGAAAGATAGCACCCCCTACTTTAAAACAATTGAGCGTCAATATAAAAAAAATGTTACACATGTGTAAAAAGGGGATGCTATCTTTCCAGACTTTACGGTAATTATAAAAAAAAATCAATCAACCAGTTCTAAAATAATAATAATAATAATAATGTACATCAAATGAAAACAATTGGATAATGTTGAAATATCTGATAAATCATAAAGATGATGAATTACTAAACAATAAAATAAATGAATTATTAAATGATAATGATGACAATGATGAATTATTAAAAAAAAATGAAGAGAATTTTTTAAATGAAGACTTTTAATATCAAATACAACAAAACCATAATAACGAAATGACCAATGACCTTTTGACTGAAATTGTTATTATGTCCAACTGCTTTACATTAAATATTATTATGTAAAGTGGGCATGCTTTCTAATTCAAAAATGCTCTACGTGTGGAGTTACATATAACAGTGACATTAACTCAAAATTGTTTTTTTCATGACATGGTCCGTTTCTATTGCCACACCCCATATATTGTACAAATGCATTCCTGAGATATGAGGAACGATCATATATCATACAATTGCGTTCCTGGAGAAATGTTCATATATAGCGCATAAATGAGCCATCGAGGCCCTATTTGTGTTCCTGAGGAACGTCCATATACTGTAACAACTATACGAAAAAAACTTACGTTTTCTTTCATCAGAATAATAACGTACTAGTACATCATGCAATGTATTTAAAATTTAATAACCTTCAATACTTACATTGGGTGCATTCATTCCGTATTTAAAAGTTCATTCCTTACATATCATAAGTAAATTCCGTACATTTATTTTCTATAGGATTGGAAGATATGTTTATTGTTTCTTAATTGTTAATTAATAAAGAAAAAGCCACATGATTCAATTATTATTTATAAGGTTGGATAGTGCTTCATTAAAAATGTTTATAATTCTAGTTAATAATTCTAGTTTTCCCTATCATGTGACAAAATTTCAGATACTAGAGGAAATCTTGCATCCTTAATATCTAAATAAGTTTCCACTGCTTGATCAAGAAATTATTATGACTAAAATCTGATAAACCACCATCAAAACACAAGATTTGTTTAGCGCAACCATTTTTGAGAGCTTGACGTTCCATTAGGGATGTTAATCAGTCTTTTAGGACTAAACTGTTTCAGGTTCGATCCTACCATTTGGGACTTAAAGTCCCTATAAGTCCGCGTGTAGCATAAATATTTAAAAAAAAAAATTTCACATAATAATTTTTTCAAAATGTCATCATCAATTGAAAATAGCTTTGTAGTCAATGGCGAATTGATCTTTACAAAGACACTTACTACCAAATTGAAGCACAACAACAATCACAACCTTTTGTTTTTATTAATGGCAATGATGAAAATAGTGATGATGTATTGTATTCAGAAAAATATAATTTATCTTTAGAAGTCATATCAATAAATTCAACATTAACATGTAGTTATTTTAAAAGATCATTTCAAAATCACTATAATCAATCAACTTCAAACAATGAATTTATCAAAAGATATTTAGAAATGCCAGAAGAAGTAAAATTGCTTGGATTGGTATTCTACAAGATTTAAAGATCCCAATTATACTGTTTTGTCATATATGGCTTGTGATTTTTTTTTCAATACAAGCAACTAGTGTGTCAAGTGAGTCAGCTTTTAGTATAGCTAAATATACACTAAGTCCAATTCGTAGTAAATTGGATCTCAAAAAGCATGAGCAAGTTTATGTCTTAAAAGTTGGATTGAAGAAAAGATTGTTTCAATATAAAATATATTAAATATATTTTTTAATATAATTTTTTTTATATTTACAAAATTTTATAATAATATATAAAATATATATATAATAAATGTATATAATAAATATTTTTATTAACTGTTTGAAAAAAGTTGGGTCCAGTCCCAAGATGGGACTGCCAGTCACAGGACTGAGCCGGATTGTTCAGGACTGATTAACATCTCTACTTTTCATCCTTCTACTGAAATATGTTAAAAATGTTGAAAGGCTTTCATAAAGTGATTCAAATACTTTTTTTTTAAAAAAAATCATGACAATAATAATAATGATAAGTATGGATTTAAGTTTAAAGTGTTGTTATAAAGAAAGCTTAATTTATTCATTACCTTCACTATTCAAAAATTCAGTCCAATCAACAATATGGTAATTTCGTTTTTTACATATATATTTTATAGTTGATGTCTTTAAACTGCTGGTTGGGCCACCTATTACTAACAAACGAACTACCTTGTAGTATTTTCTATTTATGTTTTTTTTGATAATTTTTTTTTAATTTAGATAAAAGATAAATCATGAATTGTCATTATTATTGTTGTATAAGTTGTATAAGTGAACTTTTACTTTTTCAATAAAATTAATTAATGTTTAGTTATTTTCTTTATTTGTACATTGTACTCGTGACAAAAATGTAAATTGTTACAAGTAAATCCTCAATTCAGTTTCTGTGAGTAAAAAATTATTTCTTCCTACTGTTATGACAACATTAAAAAAAAATATATTTTGTAACGACAATTAGCAATCAACAGCTAAAAAACCATCAACATTTACAACATCAATAAAAGTTTTTCCTTTTTATTCTTTTAAAAAAAGAAAAAATGCAAGTATTGTTTTTTTTTTAATTTATTTTTAATAAATGATGAATATTGTGTGTAAATGAATGGCCTATTCTGAGGAATAGGAAGTAAGTTAGCAGTTAGGTGTTGAATGTCAATGTGCTCACATCTTGCGATCAGGCATCTGCTTTTGAGGATTATGCATGCTGGGGTATCATACATTGGAGCTGAAGCCCATCTAACTGTTAATCATATGTTTATGTTAAAGGCCATGTTATCTTATTAATTGACCATGCTATTCTTTTTTATCAACACATCAACACTGAGATAATGATATTATTAATTAATTAATTAATATGTTTATTAATGTATATTTGTTTTTGTTTATTAGGCCTCATGGAAGATCTGTAAATTCAAGCAATAATGCTCGTTATCATAACTTGATCAGATCAATCAGACGTTATGAAAATATTTGTAGAAGAATCAGGGAAGATCGTTCTTTATTCATTGGAACCTATAGAGAATTGAGAAATTGGAGGAGAGAAAGAAATTGGGATGATTTTCATCTTGTTGAAGAACGTTGGAGATTTTATAGAACATATATTCGTATATATTTATATCGTCAAAGATTTCTTGGCAGATGATCTTTTTAATTTAAAATTGATTAAAAATATAGAATACATATAAAATTTAAATTATTTACAATGCACAATTCCCTCATTTTACCATAGAATGGGTATTCGTTTGGAGTGACTAGGAATCAACCTTTATTGTTGTTTTTATTAACATTAATGAGGAAAAAACAGAATGAAAATTCTTACTAAACCAGTTTTAAGCAAGCAATTCCACAATTTGAAAATAATAAAAAAAAATCAGTTTATATTTGTTTTTTGGTTAATAATAAATTATTTATACAGCTGAAATTTAGTTGATTTTATCATAAATTTATGGCTGAAATCAAGTTGCAACTGAAAAACAATTCAGTTGATTGTACCCTTCAATAATCTAATTGATACATATTCCAAGAATATCTACTACCACAAAGTAAAATAGTTTGTTTAGTGATCCAGAACCGTGATGATAAATCAAATGTAAACCCGATTTTTATTGTAATAATCTAAGAAATTTATATAATTCTAATGAAAATGGAATAAAATAAATTTATGTAATTTAAAGAAAATGGAATAAAATAAATTTATGTAATCCTAAAGAAAATAAAATTGGGATCTAAAGAAAAATATAAATTTATGTACCCTAAAGAAAGTGAAATATAATAAATTTATGTAATTCTAAAGGCAATGAAATAAAATAAAATTGGGATCTAAAGAAGTGATCAAATCAATATAAATACAAGATGTTTTTACCAAGCTATACCAATAAAAAAATTTAATCTATATAATAATAAAGCAAGTACATAAAAGTCAAATTCTTTAAACACTACTATATTATTAAAAATCAAATTTCTTTTATCATTATCAAAATTCTTTTTTCCAATTTAAATATATCAATACCTTAAGATGGACAGACCTACTGCAAAGCTAGCCAAAAGCAAAAGACAAAGCAATGATCCAACATATGTTGAAATGAATTTAAATGAAGGTTTGAATTCCGAAGCTGAATCTGAAGTTGAACCTGAAAGTTGAAGCTGAACCCGAATCTGAACCTGAATCTAAATCTGACTCAAGTTCTGATGGTGATAAACCCTGGGAGGATGTGAATATGAATCAAATTGAAAAATTTTACCTTTTTAAATGATGCTTATACTTCAATAAAAAAAAGCAGGGCTTTTTAAATGGGAATTCAATCAGGTCACGACAAAGACATGCCAAAGAGTTGAGAGATGCAGCAATCAGATCTTCTAAAATTACTGAATTTTTCCTACACATTGTACTTTATATTTTTTGTCAAAAATTAAACATATAAATTACCTAAAATGAACCATGATTTTTTGTCCATCCCGGAGATACTGCCACTATCTCACTTGCTTCAACCTTTTTTTTACCATTATCTAAATTTCTAAAATACATCCCAATTGCTGTTAATCTAGACTTTACATCATTTTCTAAATTGGGGGTTTCTAAGAGCTTCTTCAACAGAATCTATTATATTTCTCCAGTTATCATCTTCATCTTCATCATAAAAAATTATTGACAGAAATTATACAGAAAATGTACTGCAAAACAATACGGTTTTCCTGTATGTTATTTTTTATAGGGGCATCATCATTATCATTGAGAGATTGATCCCTATTAGGAGTTTGAATACAGTTGAAAGAATCTTTTAAGGTGGTGTTGACCTAATTACAAAAAAGATGTTGCAAGAAACAGTTTAAGCACCTGAAAAATTGGTTTAAAGAAAATAATATTACTAAACCATGAAATAATTTTATTTTACAATTATGTCTGGCCTGGGTACTAGACCTAACCTGTTCAGTACACTAGAAATAGTAAATTTAGTTGATTCACAAGATTATTCTGCAGTTGATAATATTGATATGACAAATGCCACAACGAACAATGAAGATGAAAGAACATGTGGAGGTCATAAGCATCTAAAATAGTAGTCAATACTGATTGATTTTATATTTAATTACAGGCAATAAATTATTGTAAAATTAAATCAACAATGATTATTACTTGCTATGGTATTAAATTTCCAGATAATGGAGATTATGTGATAGTTTTTAAATTATTTACAGAAGGAAGTTTATTTACAAAAAAATCATTCTAATTTGTCATTAAAAAATAGAATTGCTATTTTTAGATGGTTGTGTTATATATATGTATAAAAAATTTAATTCATTGTGGTAATATATTAATGCTTGAAGTAATTGTTATATTACAGATTTGGGGTTATGTGTACCAGTTGATGAAAAATCATCAAATAAAATATATGGAATTGTATCATATCTTGCACCTGAGCTACTTGGAGACACAAATAATACAAAAAAATAAAAGAAACAGATATTTACAGTGTTGGGATGTTAATGTGGGAAATATTTGCAGGTCATTCACCATTCAACAATAGAGCTCATAATCATAATTTAATTTTTGATATATGTGAAGATTTACAACCACCAATACCTGATGAATATGCACAAATGATGCAGAAGTGTTGGGTAAGGTTGTGGGCGAAACCTCCTTAGTAATTGCTGAAACCACGGCAAAACTATATTAAATCTTATCAAAAATCCTGTTGAAACTATGCCGAAATGGCGAAACCTCAAAATGCGAAACTCTGCCGAAACTCTAATAAACAATTAATGTGTAACCTGCCGAAACCCTGCTGATTGATTTCTGGAGGAGTTTCGGCAAGCAACCTTAGTGTTGGGATGTGGATCCATCAAAAAGACCAACCATTGATGAGCTTTTGGACTTTGCTTATAATAAACATGAAGAAATTCTTAAAGTTTCGCATATGAAAAATCTAGATTCACACATAAAATTTTATTGTTTAAAAATTTTACTTTTTTCCAAGTTGAGATGCATGTCTTTACTAACCAATATATTAAAACAATCAAAATTCATGACAACATTTTCTATTTTCTTGACTTTATATATTAAAAATAAATAAGTTTAGATCAGTTTGTAATTGAGTTCATTTGTGTGAATCAGAGATATTATTACATGCACTGGAATATACCTCCCTCATTAATAAATTTTCTAAGAGTCATTGGTTCAGTGAACCTTCAACAATATTATTCACTGCACCCTCTACTGCAGGTGTTACTATATTGGTGATTACATTTACAGCAATGTCTTTGATGATTTCTGCTACAAATATTTGTACAGTCTACTCTCTCTATAACGACCCTCTCTATAACGACCATTAAGTAAAATTTCTCTATAACGAACTTCCCTTTTGTCCCCATTTCAATTTTTTATAATTAATTTCTCTCTCTATAAT